GGGGAAATAATCAATGGCTAATGCTTATAAAACTGGACCATTCTGTTGAAAGTCCAGTGGTAGTGCTAGATGGTTAGAAAATTTTGATTTCATGGTGGCTCCCAACTTTTGAACAAAATGTTGTAAGAACTCTTTTAATGCTCATAAAGAATCAAGAAAAATAATATCGTTCTCTCAAAATGCCGCTTCTGAACAAGAGATTGAATTGAGAGAGGATTAATTTTTGGAAGATTATACAATGGGGGTGCCCTATTATATGGTCTCATAAGATCAGTGACAGTTACGTAGCATTTAAATCAAACGACGCATATTGCATGAGACTCGATAATTCATTACCAGATTACCTGATTTAAATTATACGATTGTTTAATTTACGATAAATTTAGGGGACAATGTTGTTAAAAGCCCTAAGCGCTTTGCTCCCTGCTGTTTTGCAGTCTTCCTCAAAGAATTGGTGAAAATCATTGCCAGATTTGAATGCAAGAAAGAGATCATGAAAAAACAAGAAACTATGAACGACTCTTATTAGTACGATTTAACAATAGAAAGTTGCTTTTGACCATACATAAAAGGCTTGCCAGGAAAGCTAAAAGCCAACATCTTTGAGAAAGATAGCAATAGCATATGGAACATATGGAACTATAGACCATTTTGGTGACTTATTTCCCAGCAACGAGAGCCTCGATTTTCTTTTCGACATGGGCTTCATGGTCTTCGAGGCGGCCTGTGATTGCATCGTTCTCCCAGCGGATGAGTGTTGGAACTCCAGTTAGCTTGAATCTCGAGTCCACTCTCCAGGGGTGCGGCGGATTCCTCCATGTCGGTCGGTCTCCAACATAAGCTCTCAAGAGGGCAACATCATCAGAAGTAGCTTCCAGCTTTTTGTAGATCACAGGCTCAGCTCTCACACAATCTGGAACACCAGAGGAAAAGGTAAAGCTAAAAGAGTTGGATCTTTAAGTTGAAAAGAGACATACAAGTGAAACTTGATTTGTAAGTTCGTGTATTACAAGAACTAAATAATTTTCACATGTTTTGAATGAAACTACAATGTTATTTTTAATAACAGAGGAACTGAATGCAAATATCTTTGCGGGAATCTTTATAGATAAAAAGCTTAAAGAATAGGAAAATTAATTTCTAATAGTGTAAGTTGGTTCAAATTGTAGTAACACATCACGAAACCATTCCTCAATTATTAATTGCAAAAGTTACGAACTAAATCAAACTTATATATACCAAATACATAATACATCATTAGACCATTCCTCAAATATTCTCAAAATTACGAACTTCTTCAAAAGCTCAAGGTCTAAAGCATTGGATCATTATAGGAGAGACGCTTGTGTAAATAATGTTTTAGCAAAAAGATAAAAGGCCCCATTTGGTTTCTATATTTGAACGCATGATTCTGATTCTCATTCTGCTACAGTATTTTTCATAAATTTGAATTCAAAAATTTCTTCTCTCACAAAATTCCCACCAATAAATTAGAATTATTGATTTAAACGCGTGAATCAAACAGACTCAAAGAAAAGGTAAGATTAGTACTCAAGGGGGAAAACAAGGAACCAAAAAATTAACCCCCACAAGTACGAGTATAATCAGTAACCGAGTAAAGTATACCTTAAAAAAAATTAAAAATAGTAAAAAAGTATGCTAAAATACACCAAAGCGCACAATAGAATCCAAGTTAGTTGTATAAACAATTTCACAACAATTCTGTCACGAGTACTTGGAAGTCTCATAAAACACAATAAAATCAAGAAAAAAGGTAAGATTTTTGTGTCTAAATATACTTATCTGCTAAAATACCCAAATTCACAACATAAAATGAATGATCAGAAGAAAAATGTTCACAACAATTCTATCATGGGTACTTTTAATTTTCGCATGACACACAAAAAATAAAGAAAAGGCAAGATTTTTGGCCCTAAAAAACCACTTAATTGCTATAACAGCCAAAGCCAAAACAGAATCTGAGTCAGTAACAAAAATTTCACAACAATTCTATCATGGGTACTTGTAATTATCATGAAACACAACAAAAATCAAGGAAAAAAAAAGTTGCAACAAAAAAAATGCAAGAATACCAAAACCCAGAACAAAATCTACGCTAATATATAACTCTCCAACAATTCTATAATGGGTAGTTCAAATTTTATCATAAAACGCAACAAACTGAAATTTATATTAAAAAAAAAAGATTTTGACATGGAAATGAAACAAATATAATAAATACCAGGGCACCAGCTGAGAGAAGTAGAAGGATCTTTGTCAGCCAAGAAGAGGATAAGATTGGCTTTGTTCTTCGTTGATTCTGATATGAATTTCTCAAAAATACTCTCGAAATTCGAGACCGTGGCGTCCAAGAGCTTTAGCGGCATTTTTCTGTGTTTTCCTTTTTTTGCTTTGGACTTGGAAGAAGTTATGAAAGCGATGATGAAGTCAACACACTTTTTTATTTTTATGTATTGGAATGGTTAGGCTTTTTTGTCTTTTACAAAAATGACACACACACTAGTGGTTCTTTTATTTTGGTCCGCAAGTTAAAAGTTTGGCATTTTAGCACTGATTATGAAAAGAATTAAAGAGTCGTTCTTTTACAACAAAATTGAGAAAAAAATTTAAATTTGAGTTACACTGTTATTTAAGTTTATATTTTTTTATGGCTAAACTCGAGTTGAGTTAAAAGAAAAATTTAAACTCGAGTTCATAAACTCGAACTCAAGTTAATAAATATTAATTTTTTTTTAAATATCATAACTTTTTCGTTTTAATTCTGATTGAGATGAATTTTTTTTCTATATATTCACAACAAAAAGACGAATAAAATCTCACCCATATACCCTATTAAAATTTTTCATCACCATTGAATTTGTATTAAAATATTATCTAAATACAAATTTAAGTTTTTACCCACTCAAACACAAACTTAAAAAGATTCTCAATTCAAATCATAACTCAAATGTGAACATTCAAACACAAACTCAAGTTACAACTTCAACTCAAGTTATAACTCAAATTCAACTCAAGATCGTCATTCAAGTCACCCTAACTCAAAAATGTAAAAGAACAACCCTTAACTTTTAAAAAAAAAAGTTTATGAAAAGAATTAAACAGAATGACACGTAATAATAAATAATTAAAATAAATAACATATTTATAATAAATAATTTAAATAAATAACACATTTTAAAATTATTTAAATTAAATAATAATAAGTAAAAAATTTACATAGTAAAATTTTTTTAGAGACGTAAATAGAAAATTTATGTTTCACTTCGCGGATTCGAGTTTTCAATTCAAGCTGAGATATGACATTTTTTTAGAGTTTTTCACTATAACAGAAAAAATTGATGTGACATTTTTTAAGAACTTTTTACTGTAAAAACTTAAAACTGAAAATTCAAATCGGTGAAATGAACGAGTATTATTTACATTAAGGTCTGATGTATACATAATTTAATTTATAAAAATACGTTTTACTATAATTTTTGAAAAGAAATAAGAGTAGTAATTCGTACAGCTTTACTTTCTTCAAATAAAATATTTTCGTTATTGAAATTCTTATCATCATTTCATCTCATCATATTAAATGCCACTATCAAGCTATTAAAAAAAAAACTATTATTGCAATTACTACAATCTTTTTTGATCGAACAATTACTTAATAAAATAAAATTTAAAAAAAAAAAAAAAAAAAAAAAACTCTTTCGTCATATGTGCTCTATAGCCTTTTCACTTATGCCCTCCATAAATCAACCTACTTCTTCTTCTTCTTCTGTTTTTTTTTTTTTCAACGACGAGGAGACATGTATATATCACCTCTAGAAATGAAACTATAAACAAACGTACAAACAAAACAGCCTTAGTCTGGACATGATCAACAAGTGAAAAATGAATCATGGAAGACTAGCCACAATCAGACCATCCAGCTTTTCATTATCCACTAAACATAATAAACCAGTTCTCTCAAATCATGACCATATTTCTCATCCAACGGCTGACAATATCTCCTCTTCTTTGCAGCACTACATTAACTCAGATAACCCTTCCAATGGCCAAAAGATTCATACCCATGTTCTCAAATATGGGTTTAATCCCAATTTAAATATCTCCATTAAACTTCTCATATTACACTTGAAATGTGGTTCTTTGAAGTACGCGCGCCAGGTGTTTGATGAATTGCCTCACAGAACACTTTCTGCTTATAATTACATTATAAGTGGTTACCTCAAGCAAGGGCAAGTGGAGGAATCACTTGGTTTGGTTCGCGGGCTGGTCTTTTCGGGACAAAAGCCCGACGGATACACATTCTCAATGTTACTGAAAGCGTCTACTTGCGCTGGTTGTGTTCGGTTACCGCGTAGCTTAGGTAGAGTTGTGCATGCCCAGATAATGAAATCGGATGTTACCGCAGACGACGTTCTTTATACGGCACTCGTGGACTCTTATGTTAAGAATGGGAAGGTTGGTTATGCGAGGAGAGTGTTCGATATGATGTTTGAAAGAACTGTTGTGTGTTCAACGTCGATGATTACGGGCTATATGAACGAAGGCTCCTTTGAGGATGCTGAGGAAATATTTAGGAAAACAGTTGTGAAAGACATAGTGGCATTCAATGCAATGATTGAAGGTTATAGCAAATCGATCGAACATGCTTCGAAATCACTTGAGATGTACATTGACATGCAACGGATGAATTTCAGGCCTAATATTTCTACATTTGCTAGCGTTATTGGGGCTTGCTCAGTGTTGGCGACATTTGAAGTTGCTCAGCAGGTCCAAGGTCAACTGAGGAAGACCCCATTGTTTGCACACATCAAGATCGGAAGCGCTCTCATAGATATGAACTCAAAATGCGGCAGAATTGAGGTCGCACGTAAAGTCTTCGATGAAATGCCCGAGAAGAATGTGTTTTCATGGACTTCCATGATAGATGGTTATGGGAAAAATGGATATCCGTACGAAGCGCTAGAACTCTTTAGCATAATGCAAAAGGAATACCATATCGAACCCAATTTCATCACATTCCTTGGTGCAATTTCTGCTTGTGGGCATGCTGGGCTGGTTGATAAGGGCCTGGAGATCTTCGAAAGCATGGAGAGGGACTACTCTCTAAAATCGGGGATGGAGCATTATGCTTGCATTGTGGATCTGTTGGGACGTGCAGGGCGGTTGAATCAAGCGTGGGAGTTTGTTAAGGCAATGCCCGAGAAGCCTAATTCAGATGTGTGGGCTGCTCTTCTGAGTTCATGTAGACTTCATGGTAACTTAGACATGGCAAGTGTAGCTGCCAAAGAACTTTTTAAACTGAATTCTAAAGATAGGCCCGGGGCTTTTGTCGCACTGTCCAATACTTTGGCGGCTGCGGGGAAATGGGATAGTGTGAGTGAACTTAGGGAGACAATGAAGGTAAGAGGCGTATCTAAAGATACTGGACGCAGTTGGGTCGCTGCCGATTAATATAGTTGGTAAGATTATTTATTTGGCAGAGGAAATTGTATAGCATCATATCGTCTTCGTTATTGAAATTGCTTATAGATACATATATTCTTATAAGCATAGGTTTTACCACCCAAAACTACCTAAACCGCTGCAGTTCCAAACAAAGGAATGGAATTGTGATTCGTAGTCCTGATTATGAAAAGCATTGGAAGATGACCAACCTTGGATTTCATTGTTGTTTGTATTAGTGATGATGTTATTTTCTCTTCTTCATCAACATTAGACTTTACTGTACAAGAAAAGCTCGTCGACTCCATAATCAATTAAATTTCTCATTCGGGTCACCTTCATGCTCCGGCCAGTTGGCATATGATTTAGATTGCTGAAAATTTCAGAATTGTGATGTGGAATGAGAAATCTTGGAGAGGTTTTGGATGTACTAATGCAGCAATGGGCTGTATATTCGAAACTTCCCGAATGATTGTTGGTATTGTTTTGACTGCAATGGCCTCAAAAGAGGAAGAAATCACAATGATGTTATACTGTTTTCTACTATAACTGCATAGTTAATTCAGGTAAGATTGGCATACTTTTTTGGGTGAGACTTTTTTGTTCTTCCTTTCGCCATTACGCTTGAGTTACTTAATGCTGTCTTTTCGAGCAGAGCACACAAAAAGGCATCATTTTAGGTCGCCAAAGTCTTTGTGATGGCTCTTTCAGAGAGGTCTTGTGCTGCCCGAGATGCGAGCCAGAAGCGACATTGCTACTCAACCTTGAAGAAGCCTTGCAGAAATGGTGAAAAGTTCTTCTGGATTATAATACAATACTTCTCATGTTTTGTCTTTTAAGAAGTGTTTCATTTTAATTTCTTATAAATTATCCCTTCAAACACTTTTAGATGATATGAGAGGCTACAAATACAAACACTTGATGGCAAGCATAAACCATATATTATTATGGGCTAATCTTGTTTCATAATTAGACCACCTGTATTATCACCCCTAAAGACAAAACGCTTAAGTAACTAAAATAGCAAGGAAAACCATTGGATTACCGATAAAGTAAACAAGTAGTCTTTTGTTTATCAATGTGTGTAGACTCACATACTGGTGTGGTTTCAATGGTTTATTATTTCAATATTCACCTATAAATAGATATTGGATATCATTGTTTTAATTATGTGATATGAGTCACACCGTCGTAATGAATTGAATCGAAAAAAAAAAAAATAACAAGCACTAAATTTGGAGAGCTCATAAAGTAATGTTTCTAGTTAATGCTTTAAGTTGTTGATTAACTTGCCATAGCAAGTCATATAAAACAATGCATCATCAAATGTAATTAAGATAATCGATAACTTTTGGTTACATCATCAAATGTAATTAAGATATGCTTAAGAACTAGTTGCCTCTACTCAAATGGATAGAGCCAAATTATTCAAGAAATATCCTACTATAAAAAAGGAATATAATGAAGATTCTTTTGCTGCATTATATGTAATCTTTTGCTAAGAGGGAGAGGAATGGATACAAAGATGGTGATTTTATTAATCGTAACAATCACCATTCATTTTAATATACGTGATGTAGATGCCATACAAGGAACTGCCACATTTTATAGACCGGTTATAACTTGTGAGTTGACCTTATATATATATATATATATATATATATAGTCTATTTGCGTGTGTTGCAGTGACCAATGATTTTAAGAGGTCAATCAGCTGTACTCCAGAGAACTTAAGCGGAGGCTAGAGTTTCTTATTAGGTTTCTATTACAATCAGCTGTACTCCATTTCATAAAAAATAAAAAAATGGTGTAAGTAATTAAGAAGAACCCTTTCCAACGATTTTAAGAGGTCAATCAAACGCACTCATGAAACAAGGCAATTTATAAATAAACTATACTCAATACTGTAGATAAGACAAAACAATTAATAATGTACGTGAATTAAAAAAAACCCTCTCTGACGATTTTATGAGGTCAACCAAACGCATGAAACAAGATAATTTATAAATAAACTACACTCAATAATGTATGTAAGAGAAAACAATTAATAATGTACGTGAATTAAAAAGAACCATTTCCGATGATTTTATGAGGTCAACCAAACGCATGAAATAAGACAATTTATAAATAAACTATACTCAATAATGTACGTAAGAGAAACAATTAATAATGTACGCGAATTAAAAAGAACCCTTTCCGATGATTTTATAAGGTCAACCAAACGCATGAAACAAGACAATTTATAAATAAACTATACTCAATAATGTACGTAAGAGAAACAATTAATAATGTACGCGAATTAAAAAGAACCCTTTCCGATGATTTTATAAGGTCAACCAAACGCATGAAACAAGACAATTTATAAATAAACTATACTCAATAATGTACGTAAGAGAAACAATTAATAATGTACGCGAATTAAAAAGAACCCTTTCCGATGATTTTATAAGGTCAACCAAACGCATGAAACAAGACAATTTATAAATAAACTATACTCAATAATGTATGTAAGAGAAAACAATTAATAATGTACGTGAATTAAAAAGAACCATTTCCGATGATTTTATGAGGTCAACCAAACGCATGAAATAAGACAATTTATAAATAAACTATACTCAATAATGTACGTAAGAGAAACAATTAATAATGTACGCGAATTAAAAAGAACCCTTTCCGATGATTTTATAAGGTCAACCAAACGCATGAAACAAGACAATTTATAAATAAACTATACTCAATAATGTATGTAAGAGAAACAATTAATAATGTACGCGAATTAAAAAGAACCCTTTCCGATGATTTTATAAGGTCAACCAAACGCATGAAACAAGACAATTTATAAATAAACTATACTCAATAATGTATGTAAGAGAAACAATTAATAATGTACGCGAATTAAAAAGAACCCTTTCCGATGATTTTATAAGGTCAACCAAACGCATGAAACAAGACAATTTATAAATAAACTATACTCAATAATGTACGTAAGAGAAACAATTAATAATGTACGCGAATTAAAAAGAACCCTTTCCGATGATTTTATAAGGTCAACCAAACGCATGAAACAAGACAATTTATAAATAAACTATACTCAATAATGTACGTAAGAGAAAACAATTAATAATGTACGCGAATTAAAAAGAACCCTTTCCGATGATTTTATAAGGTCAACCAAACGCATGAAACAAGACAATTTATAAATAAACTATACTCAATAATGTACGTAAGAGAAAACAATTAATAATGTACGTGAATTAAAAAGAACCCTTTCTGATGATTTTATGAGGTCAACCAAACGCATGAAATAAGATAATTTATAAATAAACTATACTCAATAATGTACGTAAGATAAAATAATTAATAATGTATGTGAAAGTGACCGTACATAGATGATATCAAAAAAATCGACCAAATAAATACAAAGACCATCACTCTTGGTGTTTAGAGGTTTCAAAAAAAAAAGAGAGAGAGAGAACAGGGACTGAAAGACAAAAAAGAAAAAAAAATTAAAAAATTAAAAAATTAAAAAATTAAAAAATTAAAAAATTAAAAAGAGCAACTGCAACCAAAACAAAGCCGTTTTGATCCAAACTGTAAGAGTCTTCTGACACTTCTATAGTACATATAAATGTCACATTTAATAATTAATTTTATAGGGCCGTAAGAGAAATATTTTAAGTATGTCTATATTGTAAAATAAAATAAAATAAAAACTATTTAAACAGAGATAGAAGGAAAAAGAACAACAAAACAAGAAAGGACTAAAAGAATAAAATTAAATAAATAAACAAAAACAAAGAAGCACTTAAAAATAAGAAAACAAAAAGAATGACTAAAACGGAAAAATTAAACAACAACGAAGGACTAAATTTTTCTTTTTTTTTTTTTTGTTTTTTGTTTTTTGAAAAAAGGAGTGGAGTGACTACAAGGCAACATGAAAAAAAAAAAATGAAGATTATAAACTAAAAAGAAAAGGCACTTTCAAGAAGTGATTTTTGTCGAAACTGTAAGAGAGTTTGACACTTCTATATATAATAGATAAAAATCACATTTAATAATTAATAATTTTAAGGGATGTAAGATAAATATTTAAGTATGGTATATTGTTAAATAGAAAGAAAAAAGAACGAAAAAAACAAGGAACGACTAAATAAATAAAGAAAATAAATATAAACAATGAAGCACTTAAAAGTAGTGCTGAAACTTTAGACGGGTCGCGCCGAAAAGTCTGAATTTTTACCCGATGACTGAGCCCGAACTGCCTGAATTTTTGGGCTGCCCGACCTGACTCGAATTTCTCCTTGGACGGGCTTCGGGCAGCCCGTTACCCGACCGAAAATCCCCAAATTTTTAAATATATTTTATATTATATATTTATATATTATTATAGATATATATATATATATATATTACAAATTGAAATTTGAAATGAACACACGAACTATATAAAAAAAATTATTTCTTTATTGATTTTTAAATTTGTAATTCATGATTGGCTCGTTAAAAACTTTACCAAAAAAACCCAATTGGGATAAAAACTTAGTAAGGAAAAAAGAGTGCAATCATTGTGGGACGAATTACAAATTTGACGAACTTACAAAGTCTATACAAGATTACAATAACACTATACAAATTAGAAATTACAAAGTAAATAAATATTTACAAATTAGAATAATAAAATTTAATTTGAAGCAGAAGGATCGTCTTGAAAATTAAAAGTTAATCTATTAAATTCGTCGATCCATTCTTGGCTTGCCGGTGAGATTGTATCGTGTAAGCGTTAGTCGGAACGATCCCAATCCTTGATGCACACCAAAACTTCAATAATATCCTGTTGCAATGCATTTCTCCGTTCTTCAAGTATTCGGCCGGTTGTATTGATGCTTGTTCGGCTGCAACAGTGGAGACTGGGATCGAAAAAATATCCATTGCCAGTCGTGTTAGGATCGGCCAAGTTAATGCTCGTGCCTTCCACCACTGAACCAAATCAAACATTTCACTATTGTCTACAACTAAGCCCTCACTCAGGTACGCCATTAACTCGTTGAAGCCGCCGTTGTTGCCGCCACCTTTTGATGAAGATCCACTCCCAAATTCTTCTTGACCTTGAGTCGTCACTATCATCTTCTTCTTCTTCTTAGACAACCAGAAAACATTCAAGAATGAATGTGGATTGTCATCTCGTTGTTGCGGTTCTTCTACACGAGGTGTATTTCTAAACCTACTTTCATAAGAGCTATAGAGAGAAAATATTTTTTCCTTTATAATAGGAAATTGGTCAGTAGTGTTGATATCTAAAAAGTCACCTAAGTTATCTAATCCACTTTTTAAACCATCTAATTTTAATCTAGGGTCGAAAATAACACCGAAACCATATAACATTAGTAATTTAGACCAATATTTTTTAAACTTCTTTTTCATAAAGGTGATAGGAACTCCTAAAATTCCGTGTGTCTTAAATTCACTAAATAAAATAGACATTCTTAAAAGTTCTCCTAACGTTATTGGTGACGTTGGGTAATAAGTTCCACTAAGCTTTAAAGTAACTTCGTGAAATCTACTTAAAAAGTTAAACAATAGTTCGGCAATTTGCCAATCAGTTTCATATATAAATCTTGCTCCTAATTTTGCACTAACATAATTTGTTATAGCATCTTTATAGGGAATGCATTGTTCAAGCATTATATATATAAGTGGAGTTCCATCTTATGGGCATATCTAAGGCTAATGTTCTAGGATTTTGAACAAATCTTGTATTCGTTGATTACTACCTTGAATCCAAGCAATGTTATCTCTAATTCTTTTAATATGACCTGACATTGATTTTAAATTGAATTTTACTATTAAATTAATTATATGACATGCACAACGTTGGTGAAATATATCATTATTACCAAATAAACTTAAATCATTTTTAAAAAATTCTATTTCTTTAGTATTTGCAGTTGCATTATCTAATGTTATGGCCATTATTCTATCTCTTAAACTATATTCGTCAATGACAGATAAAATTATGTTATATATTAAATTGGCAGTATGTGATCCTATAACACATTTAAAACCTAATATTCTCTTATCCAAATCAAAACCTTTATAATAATGTCCGGTTACAGCTAAATAATATTTGTTAGTAACGGCGGACCAAATATCCGCCGTTAACGCAACGCAACCACTAGTAGAGTGTAAAAGGTTGATTAATGCTTCTTTTTCTTGTTTATATAACTTTAATGCATCTTTCATAAGAGTAGTTCTTGAAAAAAATTATGCATTAGGATTATGTACAATTTTAATATAACGCTGCCAATTCCTTTGTTCAGTAAAACTAATTGGTTGATCTAATTTGGCTACTAAGCGTGCCGTTTCCATACGATCGACTTGCGGATCGTACTTCTAAGTGGTTAGACCGCCGGTTTGGCAGTCAAATGATAATTGTGTTTGGCGGAGATCGGGTCCGCCTCCTTGCTTTTGAAGACACTTTTCAGAGTGTCTTCTCAAGTGTGTAGTGCCGTAAATAGTGTTACCTTGTAATTTATCACCACAATATTTGCATTGAGCTATGTATTTAATGTTATCGTTATTGTCAACCTCCTCGAATGTGTTGAAGTGCTCTCAAACTGCTGAGGTGCGCTTGCATTTCTTCTTAGAACTTGCAACACTTGCACTAGCACTACCGCTTGCCTCTCCTCCAAGCCCACCAGTGCCACCACCATTACGTCCACGACCTCTAGTACGTCCACCATGGCTCGGATTTGCAGTTTCCTCACCAACTTTTTCTGTAGTTTGCGATTCCTGCATTTGAAAAACATTAAAAAATTGCCCTTCTTTGATGTTGAATTGGGCATCAATGGGAATATCACCACCATAACCAGAAGATGTCATTATGAAAAAAGAGAGATTGAGAGCGCTTTGAGATAGATTAAGAGAGATCGAGAGAGATTTAAGCGAGATTAAGAGATATTTGAGAGAGATTAAGAGTGATTTGAGAGAGATTGAGAGAAATTAAGAAAGAATGAGGGTTTTTGGGTGAGGAAAATGGTTGGGGGAGGGGGGTATTTATAGGAAATTTTTTAGCTTGAAAAAAAAAAAAATTTCCCCCAAAAATTCGGTTCCAACGGCTATGTGAAATTCGGGTTTTCGAGTCGGGCTCGGGCAACGGTCTTAAAATTCGGGTTAACGGTCAGAAAGAGCCGTTGGGGTTTGAAAATTCAGGCGGTGGGTCGGGCAGAAAGAGCCGTTGGGTTTAAAATTCGGGTTAACGGTCAAAAAAATTCGGACAATTAAGAATCTATAAATAATTAAGAAGAACATTTTTCGACAATTTTACGAGGTCAACCAAACGCACTCATGAAACAAGACAATCTATAAATAAACTAAACTCAATAATGTAGGTAAGAGAAAACAATTAATAATGTACGTGAATTAAGAAGAACCCTATCCGACAATTTTACGAGGTCAACTAAATGCACTAATGAAACAAGACAATCTATAAATAAACTAAACTCACTAATGTAGGTAAGAGAAAATAATTAATAATGTATGTGAATTAAGAAGAACCCTTTCCGACGATTTTACGAGGTCAACCAAACGCACTCATGAAACAAGACAATTTATAAATAAACTAAACTTAATAACGTAGGTAAGAGAAAGCAATTAATAATGTACGTGAATTCAAAAGAACCCTTTCCGACGATTTTACGAGGTCAACCAAACGCACTCATGAAACAAGACAATTTATAAATAAACTAAACTCGATAATGTAGGTAAGAGAACAATTAATAATGTACGTTAAAGTGACCGTGCATAGATCGTATCCAAAAAAATCGACCAAATAAATACAAACCATCACTCTTAGGGGGTGTTTGATACACAGTAATCAATAGAAATCATATTTCTGAGAAAGTGATGGGGTAATATGATTCCCAAGAATAATACATTATAGTGTTTTATTCCATACAAGAATCTTGTCTCAAATTCTCAAGAATAATACGTTACTGTGTTTGGCTGTGTATGAGAATATTGTGTATTAAGAAAAACATATATTTTTAAATGAATTACAATTAACACTAATATTTTTTAAATATTTAGCCCATAACATTAGCACTAATATTTTAAAAAGTATAAAATACAACACAACAAGTTGTCCATACAATAATTATAATTTTTACATTCCTTGAAAAGTTAATCCTATGGGATTTACTTTACTCATTTTGGGTAATCTGAATATCACCTAAATATGTGTTATTCATATTCCCATCTATCTTAAAGAGCACGGGAATTCACCAACAACACACCACCATCACAGACCACCACCACTGTCTTCACCTGTGCTCGGCTGTTTACCTCCGTTCCTCTCCCCTGTTACTGTCGCTGGGAAAGGCGTCCACTGTTGCAGATCCGGTTTAGCCATTGTTGTGGGTGGAGATATATTGGAAAAATCACACCCCCTACACCCACACAACAGAAAAATAAACTGAAACAAAAATAACAAAAAAAAAAAGATAAGATAAAGATTTAAGTGGGTCGGAAAAATTTTCTACGTCCACAAGAGAGAGAGAAAAAATTCCCTAACATTTTTAGAATTACACACTTAATAAATTTTCTTACTTTCTCTTTATACCCAAAACCCCTTTCATTATTTGTCTATCTTTCTCCTCACTCTTCTCTTTTTTTATCAAAAGGAGACACTTTTTCTTTACACATTTTTTAACACACATAAAACCTAACATAAAGTACTTAATTATAGACTTTTAATAACTTTTGCCTAAAAACATAAAACAAAAACTTACTTAAAAATCGCAAAATAATAACTTTTTTAAAACCAATTTGAGTCACTTACCTAACAAGATAAACTTTATTCCGGCAAGGGCAAGTGAGGCTTGTGAGCATAGATAGTATGAATAATAGTTCCGCCCCCAACTTAGCCAATATTTTCCATATAAATAACTAACAAATTAGACACAGAATGCATTCACTGAATCAATTGGAGTGAGAAAGAGAGAACAATAAAAAATGTCACCATTGCCAAGGTTTGTGGTTCTCAAATCCGTCAACAACGGCAAATACTTGAGCAAGATAAGTAACGAAGAGAGTACCAAAAAGGGACTGCAGGCAACGTTTCTGAAATTTCATGGAGAGGAGATTGCCAGTCCTTTCGCAAAGTTCGAAGTGGAGACAGCGAAGAAAAACCCGGAATTCGTGCACATACGCTGCTGTCACAACAACAAATACTTGGTACGGTTGCTGGGCGAAGGGTCGAGTTCGCGTTCGCTATGGATCGTTGCCGCGGCTAACAAATCCCAAGAAGATGTTGACGTACTCTCATGTACTATGTTCAAGCCTGTTCAAAGTGATGAAAATCATTTCCGATTTCTCCACGTCGAATCCGGGCGTTACGCCCGTCTATCGAAGGAGAAGGAGCCTTACACGGATGGCTTGTTAGCAGGATCAAGCTCGATCGACACTGACTTGCAAGACGTGTACAAAGTCTTTGATTGGGAATCGCTTGTCGTATTTCCCAAAATCGTGGCCTTCAAGCTGGGAGACAAATACCTCAGCCACCGTTGGATCGAGGGCTATCCGTATCTGCAGTTCGTATCCACCGACAGCGGCGATCAGACGATAGCAAACGAGATCTCCACCTTCGGCGATGGATTTGTCCGCATAAGATCCCTTTCGACCGGAAATTTCTGGAGGCGCAGCCCCAACTGGATCTGGGCCGACTCTACCGACTCCACCGGCAGTGACTCCAACACGCTGTTCTTGCCCATCAAACTCGCCGACAACGTCGTGGCGCTCCGCAATTTGGGAAACAACTGCATCTGCAAGAGTCTTACTACAGAAGGCAAGACGGACTGTCTCAACGCCGCCGTGCACAACATTATTAATGATGCGAAGCTGGAGGTGGAGGAGAGCGTCTTGTCGAGGAGTATCTACAACATCAATTTCCGCCGTGACGAGGGCAGGGTCTACAACCTCAAAGTCATCGAGAAGGGCCACTCAGAGGCCGATAACTACACGAACGTAGAGAACACTGTAAGCCTCAAGTTTTCCTACAAGAAAACAAGCGCTAGTACTATCGGCGGCAGCGTTTCGCTCAAGTTGGGCGTCAAAACACCCCTCCAAATTGCAGCCATTCCGCTCATCGTGGAAGGGAAGGTCGAAATTTCGGGTGAGGTTACAACGGCAGTTCAGTGGGGGAAAACCGAAGCAGTCGAAACCGTAACCGAGACTACCTACAGCGCTAAAGTGCCTCCTATGACTAAAACAATTGTCACTCTGACAGGGACGGAGGGAATGTGTGATGTTCCCTTCTCTTATACCCAGCGCGACATTCTTCACAATGGGGATCCCAGAATCCAGAACATGGACGATGGGATTTACACAGGGATTAATATGTTCGGCTTCAAGTTCGATAGCCACCAGCAAAAGCTACCTGCAGATTATTATAAGTAGAAGTATGAGACACACCAGATCAATCGTCGACCACTCTAATATGCATGCAATGAGTACGTGGAGATTTAATCCTTCGATCCTTGTCTTGCTAAAGCTTGGTCTGTTATATATGGAAATATATATACATATATATATATGTCCTTTACTGTTTCGCTCAATAAGGGGTCGATTGTCCACATGCAACGGCTAGATTGCAGGCAATATTGATTCCAGGTGTGTTCTTTGCAATAAATAAGCTCGCGAGACTATTAATGAGCACTTTGTATAATTCCATCCTAGTAATCAGTCGTTGCAATGTTGTTTAAGGTCTGCGTGCCTTTATTTAGTTTCATGGTGCTGCATGGCGGCCTATGCATGGGTCTCCAAGTTCTGTGTACTTTGTGTCGTCTGCTCTCTTTTGTAGAGCTTCTTTTATGTATTAATGAATTTCCAAATAATAAAAAATGCAATGAGTGGGAGGATGATACTACTACTCGGCAAATTTGGTGTATATATTAAAATAATGCTTCGTTTTTAGCAAATTTAGCAAATTTGCTCCAGCGTAGTACTGAAATTACAATCTGTCAAGTCCAGAGTTGAAATCTGAACGGAATCTGATGTACTTAATTGGTTGTACAAGACTATATATAGCCTACATAGTTTGTAAACTGAGTGGATACATGAGTAATTCTAAAATGACTACTGAAAAGTAATAATAAGAGTACTAAAATAATTATGGTATATTTCTAGTTAATCATATGCTACATTATACCATAATCCAACTGTTCTAAAAGGTTACAATGACACAAACTGTAGTATTTCTGATATAAAAGACTCAAATTCAAATAGTAGATATTTTTCTTCTCCTGGGAAGTTGTAACACCCTGAAGAATTAATTAAGGTTAATTAAGGTAATTAAGATTATTAGTGTGCCTAATCTGGATTATTAAATGAGTTTAATTAATAAATGTTTCTGACACGTGTGAGTTTAAATAGTTCCAAGGTATTTAAATTATTCTCAGTAATTTATTTTAACCCAGAAGTGTGTATGGGCGCATTTCTGGACTGTTCTTTTAAAATATTGTACACATGCCCTTTTCCTTTCCTTTTTCCTTTTCTTTTCTTTTTTCTTTTCCTTTTCTTTTCTTTTTCTCTTCCTTTCCCGTGCGTCTCTCTCCCTCACACTCTCTCTCTCACCCTCCCGTGCTCTCTCTCAGTCTCTCTCTCTCTCTCTCTCTCATTTTTGTCCCAAATCAAACGGATCTTGAACCAAGCAAAGATTTAAAGAAGTTTTCAACGTCAAGAGAAGGATTCGAGATAAGATTACTGAAAGAACCTCTCTTGAATCTTACGTTTTCGGATTTCAAAACCCATTTTTGGTTCAAACCGGATTTTGATGATTTTGAGTAAAACTAGAGTAGAAATTGGAGATCTTGGGTTCTTTGGACTTGTTTTAGGACCTAGAACCCGGATCTAGTGGTTTCCCTTTGAAATATTTGGATTTGGGACTGGATTTGCAGGTTTTTGGACTGATTTCCGCGAGCTTCTCTCGCGCAGTCGATTCCACCGGTCGACCTGGGCGGTCGACCGGATTGCAGGCTGACCGGTCGACCGGTGTGCACATGAGATTGAAAACTCTTGGAATGATAATTTGAAACATGAAAATGGATTAGGGCACACTAATAGGAAATCTTTGTTGGGAATTGAGATTTGGATTGCTTTAGGAATGAGAATTGATCCTAAAGTGTTATCTTGTATCAGTGATCGCTGAGGATTCAGACTGAAGGGGCTTGAGAAAGCGGAAGCCGGAAAAGGGCAACGCTAGTCCCAGGTTTGATTGTGCGAGGTAGGATTTCTATCCCTTTTCCTTGTGAGCCTGTTTTCAAAAAGGATTTTGGCCTTGAAAATGTTTTAAAGAAAGGGATTGATTTGTGAAAGAAAATGCTTTGAAAACCATGGCTTGTTTAGTCATGGAACCTCATGGCTTGTCCAGTCATGGGGCCCGTGGCTTGAGTAGTTTGTGGGGTCGTATTAACGATTTCAAGATGTTAATGAATGATTTCTTAATCAAAGAGATCTTGTGAACTGGTAATAGAGTCTATTGCTGTAAGCCTAGATAGGATGCGGAGAGTGCATCCTCGGGGGCAAAACCCGAAACTCGGTCCGGGTAGGCGAGGCACTTGGTTAGGTAAGTAATTTGTACTAATTACTTGCTGAAGCCTGTAAAACGGTTATTTACGGTTATATTTCCTTTGAGAAAAAGGATGTGAGGTTCTGGCTGTTCTGTCGGGACTGAATGTCTTATTTTATTTATGTATTCAATTATTTATTTATGCGCTCATTTATTTTAAATATTTCAAATTATATCCTACTGGGCCTTTCGCTCACGTTTTATGTTTTAAATGTTAAACCCCTCCCAGGAGACTCGAGGAGCGGTGCAGAGTAGCTGGAGTTGCTACTGTTGGATCAAGTGAGGATTGAGTTTATCCTCTTAAACAAATGTAAGGGATTTGAGAAATTATGTAAACCTATTTAATATTGGATTTACTAGACTGTGGTTGATGTCTGTTGTAATGATTAATTACGTGAGCATGTATGTACGATATTGTATGTCCTGTGGGGTGGAGCCCTGTGTGTCAGAGGCTCCGGGATTCTGTAATTCATTTATATTTTAATGCAGTTAAGTGTGGGGCCCGGTCTGGGAATCTGCTTTATTAATCCCTAATCGAGCTCCACGTCACCCACCCCGTTTGGGGGGCGTGACAGAAGTGCAGCTGTATCATGGTGATTCTCTTAATAAACAAGTGGTAGAATGGCTAGTAGACATTTCAGATCCATCATGCAACATGAATTTATTGCCTTGGACAAATATGTCGAAGAGTTAAAATGGCTACGCCAATTCTTAGAGGATATTGAGGTGTGGTTGTGCCAGCAATATGCATATATTATGACAGCCAATCGGCTATTGGAAGGGCGCAAAGCAACATGTATAATAGTATGGTTAGATATATACGGCACAGACATATATAATACGATTAAACAACTACTCTTAACCAGTTTTCTCTCTGTTGAATATGTGAAGTTGAAGGATAACAATATTGCAAACCCGCCGCTAAAAAAAGAGTTAAAGTTGATAAGTTATCGAGGGGAATGGGTCTAAAACCCTTAAAAGAATAGATTCATGCAATAGAAACCCAACGTTGTTGATTTGCACAGCGTGAGTATATATCTGTCTATATATACATATATTATGGGGAACTATATATATGTGTGTGCATATATATATATATATATATATATATATATATAATCGCGAGCTAATTAATTTGTATTGCGTGAATAATACCTGATAATTAAGAGCAATTTTTGCTCAAAAAAGTTGTTTTCTTGAAGTAAGTTTTGAAGAGTTCATCGCCACAACGTGAACGGCATATTTCATTAAGACATTGTTGGAACCTAAGTTCGTTATAACGAAAAGGCTCGCATTCTGATTTAATGCACTGGATCAAACAGCCGCAGATCAACTCGGTCTCTCTAAAATTTTTTCCTTAGTACTAAAGGGCCAGAATCTTCCACGATTAATATATCTTCTAATCAGTGTATAGAAAAACTTGAAGAATTGATCCTGATAAGATGCACTAGTAGTCATTGTTGAAACATTAATCACTATAATCAATATTACCATAATATTGATCAGAATAACTAGTTTTCTAATACCTCTTTTCTCCATCTCTTTCTAAACTTTAGTTGTATTTGTTTTCAAAGGACAGAACCGTATGTCTAATTTAAAGGGATCAGATTTCGGCCGAGGGATCTGCATGGACCAAAGTAGTTTAAAACCTTCAATTTATAAGATAGAAACTCAAGTCCTTAGAAAGTCCGAATTTCATCACGATATCAAAACACAACAAACTCAAAACGAACAGTTCAATACATCCAGTATAAAATTAGTGACTCTAAAAGGAACACCATCTTGCAGTGACATGTTGAGTATTAAATAAACCCGAATCTCACATAATAAGTAGCTCCATTATAATTCCTTTTCAAAATTTGTTATTTTATCCTTCTTTTATAATATTTCAAAATGAACTAAAACTTAACTTTCGTTTACATACCTCTTTAGTTTTTTATTTTTACTTATATATATATATATTACTTTCAATTAACTCAAATCCTTTAAAAATATTGTTCGGATTCATCCCTGATTGATTGGGTAAGCCCACCCTCTTTCAACTAGAATTAAAGGGATTGCCCTCAACTCTACCAAATTCCAAATATTCCTTGTGAAATATAAAATTAAATACATATTTACTAGCAAATACGTGTAGCACTTGAGTCAGGAGGAGTAGGGCATGATAATTTATTTGCCTCTTTATTAATATAGCGTGTTTTGTTTGGTGTTAATTAATGGGATTTTGTCCTATAGTTTCTTCCAGAATGAGATTTTAATTTTCGTCTTTAATTAAATGGGTCACATCTTTTATGTACGATGTCCTTTTCATCTTCATGACTATACCTTGCATCGTGTAGTTTGTTAATTTTAATTTGCATGGTTCTAATTTTAATTTTAGTTCATTTAGTTTGCAACTAGTCATGCATATTTATTAAATTTTATGTGCGGTGTTAATATTTCAATAGATTGGAAAGTTAACATAACTCTTAATTGGTCTTAACATAACTCTTATTAAATTTTAATTGGTCTTGCGAATTCGCCAAAAGGGTAATATTGTAGAGCCGTTTTGAAGCAGTGAAGTTGTGTTTTTGAGTCCTCATCTACAGATTGATGAAAGTTCAATTTCTTAACACCATCTCGAATGTATATGGCAAGGCTAATGTCATTTTTTATACAAATAAATAAATAAATAGAGTAGCAAATTTGAGTTGTTTTGGTCCAATACATAATGGTATTTATAATGTTATATTTATCCTTTTGTCATTATTAAGTTTCCATATTTAAATAATTTTGAAATGACAATATCGTAATGATAAAATAAAAAAATTAAATACACCCATCATTAGGCGATCTCCATTGTATTTGTCAGTAACAATAATATATTCGCTAGAAAAGACTTTGAAAAATTATAAAACCGTTAATCCATCAAAAATAAAGTTAAGAGTCAAATTTATAATATAATTCAAAAAAAGTAAATGTCTAAAAATTCACAATTTAAAGTTTTAATACAAGGTGTTTATTTAATTTTATATAGGGTGTTTAATTGTTGAATAGATTGAAAAGTTAAAAAAACTTGGTATTGCAAATTAGCAAAGGCGTTTTGAAGCAGTGAAGTTGTGTTCTTGGGTCCTCATTTACAGATTACTGAGAGTTATTTAAACTGCTTAAAGACCATTTCCAACGTATACGGCAATGCCGATATTAAATTTTTGAAAAAAATAATGGAAATAAGCGAATTTGATATGTTATATATGCTCCAGTACATGAAACTAATAATAATATATATACCTTTTGCCACCATCATTAAATTTGTTTCCATAAAAGTAAACTTTCATTACTTAATGATTTTGAAATGACAATATTGTAAAAATGAAATAAAAAATTAAATTCGCCAACCATAGATTATCTTTAGCGTATTTGTTAATACCAATAGTATATTTGAAAAATAACATATATTTGAGATTTATACTCTTGATTTTAATACCATATCTACCCTTAATTTATCATCATCATTGAACTTTAGAATCCAGGTCATAAATATCTATGGTAGGAATGGTATTTTTTATCCTATCAATAGGGGTTCCATTCGATTAAGATTTTATGGTTAAGAAGATAATACCACTTTGGCACTGCCTTTTCGGTTACACGAATGAGATTCGGCCCCACGATCAAGCAATTTCTCTTCTTTTCTCTTCAGTTTTTTTTTTTTTTTTTCTTTTTACACATCAATTAAGTTATAAAATAATTGTTTGCGCCTGTTTCTTCTTCTATATAGATTTTTGGTAAAAATTTCAAATTAAATTGTGGTTAAAAGGGTAATCTTGATGTATTTTTTAAGAGTTTATATCGGATTTTCCTTTTGTAATCCAGAGGAAGAAAGGCTGGATCTTAAGAAACCAAGGCATTATTTTTCTCAATTGGCACTTTATAACCAGAGTTTGCTTCAGTACTTTCTCCTAATGACCATTATTATTGTAAACTCGCCAGAAATATGAGTGCATATAGGGCCGACAATATAGGTGACGATACGATAACACAACTCAAAAACGCATGAATTTTGCGGGTTAGGGTTGGGAAAACAAAGGTTTGGATCAGAATTGGGTCGACATGAAATTAACACGAAAAACACAGGTCAATTCTGAGTTGGACCCGCCTACTCCGAACACAGCACGAAACTCATAAAAAACTAAAAAATACATATATACACTGTGTATATGATATACCCTTTCCAAGTGCCACCATGTTTAAAGGGATTTTTTTTTTAACGTCAAATTGGAAAGCCTACATGATTAGACCAAGAAACTGGAAAGATCCTTTCTTTAAAAAAAAAAAAAAAAAAAAGCGAACAAAGGAAAAGAAAAAATAAAACAAAGAATTGGTGCAAAAAATATACCAATGCGATTTAGCCATCAGCTAAAAATCCGCAAGAGAAAGACCATGAATGATCTCATCTCTTGCTTCACCAAGTCGTAAGTGTGATTCTCACACAAAGATCTCATCTCTTTTTACGTGGCTTTAAACTACTTTTGTTTCTTCTCATGTAAAACAACTTCTTGGTAAGTTTCCGGCTCGCCTTCATCTGTGAGCATCACATACTCATTAGAAACCTTTCTCTTCTGAGCCTGCACCAATGCAAAGATGGTGGAAAATTTTGTGGTCACTTTCCCTGCCAAACAAAGTGAAGTCTTTTTTTATGGAGAGCTTACCAAGAAGCACTACCTACTATTGGAAAGTCATCCCTTATGCAAGATGTTCCTTTTGCTCTAGTGCATGGGATTGGGAATCCACCGGGCATGTTTTAGTTCATTGCAAAGCTGCTAAACAAATTTGGAAGTCTTCTCCCCTTTAAATCTCTATTTCCTCTACAATTTGTGGACACTCTTCATCTATTATCTGATTCTTTTTCTAAGGAGTTGGAATATTTTCTATGCTTATCCTGGACAGTTTGGGGAGAAAGAAATAGAAGGATTCATGGCTTCGTGATGAGATCTCCTCCTTATATGGTAAATTGGACAATCAATTATCTGTCTGATTTTTTGGCAGCTCAACAACATTCAGTTTCGGTTCAAGCAAGGAATTCCACTTCTCGCGCTATAGTTAGCTGGCAACCTCTTGATCCCTTTTGTTACAAGCTTAGTAGATGTTTCGTTCATGGATTTAGAATCATTTTCGTTTTACGTGTGTTTTTTATGAGAGAAAAACACTGTAGAGAACCATGAATCATGATTCAGAATCAATAATAAATACAGAAAACAAACATCTCCTTAATGTTGATGCCTCCATTTCTAGCCGAATTATAATTATGAGTATCCGAGTGATTATTAGAGATTTAGAAGGTTTTGTTGTGGCAGCATTGGCTAAAAAAACTCTACGGAGTTTTCTCAGTCTGTGAAGCCGAAACTAAAGCTCTCTTCATTAGTCTTTTTTGGACTCAAGATCTTGGTCTAAATCTTCACTATGTGGAATTGATGCATTGACAATAGTCAAGCTATAAAGTTTAGAGTGCTATTGACAGATTTATCTAGTTTATTAGTCATTTTATAGGAATTAAGTTATGTCATATACACATATAGGAATGCTAATAAAGGGGCCCATTCTTTTGCTACTTATGCTATTAATATAGATGATGAGTTAATGTGGTCGGAGGAATCTCCTCCTTTTATAAAATATGTTCTTGTATTTGACGCTTATGATTTATAATAATAGTGTATATTTACAATATATATATATATATATCATGAGAGAGTGTATGCACGTTTCCATCTGAAATTTGACAGCAGTTATGAATTGGACTAGATTTGCTACTAAATTAAAATTTGGGGACTTAATTACTAAAATTAAAATATAAAGGACCAAATCGTTACTAACTAAAGAGTTCTGGACCATTTACGGCAATAATAACCTTAGTTTCTTAATATTAAAAGGAAGACTAATTTGTACCGTCCTTTTTAACTCTTTAATAAGTGACACTTTAGTCTTTTTATTTTTAATTTTGATAAAAACGATCCTTAAACTATTAAAATATTAATAATTAAGTCCTTTCTAAGTTTTAACAGATTGAATTGTGAAGCATGTGATCTAATATATGAGGGTATTTGAGTCAAATAACCATAAGTGATAATAATTTAATGAAAATCAAAATAAAATATTTTAGAAAAAAAAAGAAACAAAACTAGACCTAAGAAAACATTCGATGAGAAGAGATAGAAACAAAACTAGACCTAAGAAATTGTCAGAATGAGAAGAGTTGAAGAAAGATATAGATATAGAGATAGAGATAGAGAGAGACCCAATTCTGAAAAGATCAACTAAAAACAGATGGAAAAGGAATTAGCAATGTACAAGCATATTACAAGGAACAGCTATGCGTCGCTCCGATGGACAAGGCTCGCGTCACTGAGATCTAGTGCGGCGGATTAACAGATCGCGACGGGAGTGGGCTTGCGGGGGTGGATTTGGCCGCAGATCGAGAGTCGAGGTGGGTTTGGCCGGTTGTCAGCTGCAGGGTGTTCGTTTGGCCGAAGAGGGAGGGCATTTGTTTGTGTGAAATATGAAGGCATTTTTGTCTTTTCATGAAAAAAGACGTGACTATCACGTCATGATGGATTATGTTAAAAACTTATCATAAATAGTTTGGAAATAATCGAAAAAGGTTTAGGTGTTTTGGGCTGTCTAAAAAAATTTAAAAAAAGTTAATTTGAATTTAAATTTTATTTAAGTTTATATTTTTTTAAGTTTAAATTTAAGTATGAATTTGAGTTTGAGACTAAAATTTGAGTTCAAGTGTCCCTTTTAATTTGAGTTCAGAAACTCAAACTAAAATTAATGAACAATATTTTTTCTATTTTTAAAAATACTATAACTTTTTCATTTTAATCCTTATTGAGATGATTTTTTTTCTATACGTTGATAATGAAAAAACGAATAAAATCCCACCCATATACCCTATTAAAATTTTTCATCACCATTGAGTTTTTATTAAAATGCTATCTAAATACAAATTTAAGTTTTGACTCACTAAAACACAAACTCAAAAAAAAAATTCTTATCTCAAACCATAACTCAAATGTACACAACTAAACACAAATTCAAGTTACAACTTTAACTCAAGTTATAACTCAAATTCAACTTAAAAACTATATTTAAATCACACTTTAAAAAAACAGGCCCTTAATTGCTAACATTTTGAGAATTTAGAGAACGTTTTTGTCAAAATAAAAAAAAGGACTAAAATGTCACAAGCTAATGCTATGTTTATAGGAGGGAAAGAAAAGAGAAAATAATGAGATGTAAAATATTTAGATGAAGAAAGTAAAATGATAGAATTAAGATTTTTTCTCGCATTGTTTAGTAAAAAATAAAAAATAAAAAAAAAGAGAAAGAAAAGTAAAAAAAAAATGTCAAATTTAAAATAATTTATAATAATACTTTAATACAAATAAAAATATAATAAATATTAAAATTATTACTTTACACTCCATTTATTTGTCAAATTCTTTTCTTCTTATTTTTTTTCCCAAAATTAGAGGATTAAAAACCGGTGATCTCCATAAATTTACATTTTCTTTCTTTTCTCACTTCTTTTATACCAAACAACTTGAAAATTTATTTTCCACTCCAACCGGTGATCTCCATAAATTTACATTTTCTTTCTTTTCTCACTTCTTTTATACCAAACAACTTGGAAATTTATTTTCCACTCCAAAATCCTTTCTTTATCTCTTTTCCGCTCAACCAAACAACCAAACACACTGTAAGGGATGACTAGTGAAAACCGGTGAAAACAGACACAAAATAACAAGTACTGTCGTCCGTGAAATGTAAGAGAGCTTTTAAACGACAGACAGATTTTCCATTCATACGTCCTTTACGTACTCTCTTCTTCTTCTTCTTCTTCTTCTTCTTCTTCTCTCTAAGGTTCGAATTTTAATCCAGTTGAAAAATGGTATCCGCCGAGGATTGTCCTGAAGCTGAATCAACGGTATGCTCTTCTTCAAAATTAACCCATTTTGTAGAAACTTCTTTTCCCCTGAATTTTTTTTTTTTTAGAATTTCTGCTACGAAATTAAATTTGTGTTCAGGAGAAGTCGTTGGCAAGTAATGAAGGATTGGATGACAAATACAGTGTTGAAGCAGCTGAAATTCGAGCCAACGAAGCGTTGGTACGTATAATACCTAATCTGAATTTCGTCAATTTTCTTTTGGGACTTTAACTTTTTCCCTTAATTTGTTTCATATTAATGGAAGCAATTGAATTGATTTGAACCCTAATTTTGTCTTTGTTTTAAACTCTCTTTGTAGCGTTTGCCTATCTCAGAGGCCGCTCCGATATACGAGCAGCTCCTCACAGTGTTTCCCACTGCTGTAAGCTCCTTTTCACTGCATTTTTCATTGACATAATGTACAAACAAACAAACACATATGTAATTATACACGTAATATAAATAAGAGCTTTGGTGGAGTTGAATGAATGCCTTGACCTTTTTAGGACTTAGGAATAACGGACACCGACTTGTTTACCATGTTTTGGATACAAATCAATGTGGGATAGACATGTCGATTTCTAACTCGTTAGATGCGGGATATGCGAAACTAACGTAATAGTATCTTCATATTATGACAAACCGGTTGTCACATCATTTGGTATGCAAACTTGTTTGTTAGTCGTTTGTCATGGATGACTCGTGGTATTCACTAATTAGAACTCTGGACGGGTGGGTACTTTTCTCTTTTTGGTTACATTGGAGAATTCTCTTTGCGTAGATTTCTAAGCGCATTGTTCCGTAGACAGCCAATATAAGGAGTATGACATAATTGCTATCTTATTTTTTAAGTTCATTATGAACTTGTGGTGGTTCCATATAATTTTCTTATAGGATCTTCTAGCTGAGATTTAAAGCATGATTCCTTAAATGACTCTTAAGAACAAAACGTGGTAACTAAATGTTCGGCTCAAGTGTTTGGTAATGTAAAGTTGACGGTAACCCTACCCTATAAACCCGTAGCATTTGACTTTCCTATATATGTATGGAGAAGCAGTACCACCTACCAACTTTATAACAGGGTCATAGCTCTTTAACACACGTTACTTGTATTTACTGTCTGCTATTTCCCCTTCTCTCCAGGCAAAATATTGGAAGCAATATGTGGAGGGACATATGGCTGTAAATAATGACGATGCAACAAAACATATTTTTAGCCGATGTTTGCTGAATTGTCTTCAAGTTCCACTTTGGTATGTTATTTTCTATATATACAGTGTTGGTTATTATTTTTCTCTAGGTAAAAATTCCTAAGAAAATTTTGTTTGTTGTATCATTTATTGCATCTATGGAGGCCGTGAGGGAAGTTAATAGGTGTAGTAGTTTCAATTTGTAAGAAAGAGGAGGTGGCTAGGTTAAGTTATGAAAAGGTAATAACTAATAAGGTCTATTCAAGCAAAAAATAACTAATAAGGTCTAGATACATTTGGTAGCAGGAAGAACTGCTTCTGGATTTTTAAATTCTACCTTAGGCGATCTATTAAGTCCAATGTACTATTGGTGATTGCCCAATTCATTTGAAATCCATTGTATCTCAAGGAATGATGGAACTCAAAAAGGTTCGTGTTTTGGACGTTTGAAGTTCTTATATGAATTGTCGATTTGTATTAAAACCTAATACGTTTCCAATAAGATAAAACTTGTGGTCCTACAAAGATTAATTTTTTGTCGGGTTATAAGCGTTGGAAAGGATTTTTGTTTGATGGAAAACACAAAAAATTTATTGACTAACAAGTGTACATGTTGGAAAAGAGGAGACCTAAGGCTTATTTATCTCCTTTTATGGCGTGTCGTGTTGCTTAGCTGAGTAAGCATTGATAATTCATCATTTTTGGCTTTTGCCCTTTATTTTCACGGTTGTCTTTGAATGGAGTGGGTATCTTTTGAGTGGTTCCACAAATTGTGTTTCTGGATGTTATTTCTACCTTAAATTGTATAGCATGATTCTAATCGCTTAGGGCTTAGATTACTATTGTGCTTCTTTCTTCCCTCCCTTTTCCCCTTTTTCTTCTTCCTCTTGTTTTTATTTATATCATAATTTTTCTCTTGTACTGGCTTTATAGGCGGTGCTACATCAGATTCATCAGAAATGCCAATGACAAGAAAGGGGTAGAGGGTCAAGAAGAAACTAGAAAGGCATTTGATTTTATGCTCAGCTATGTTGGTATACTTTATCATCTTTTGGAATTTATGATGTTCATCCTGTTATGTGTCCCTTATAATCCTTTTTTGTTTACAATATTGTTAAAAACTTAAATAATCTTTTGATTTTGTGTAATTAATTGATGCTAAGTGCCATAAATGAGCCGCACATTAACCATTGTCTTTACATTGTCAATTGAAATCAATACTGTTGTTTCAATTGTTAAATTAAATTGGTATCTTTTACGTTAGCCACTGTAGCTTTCTTTCTATTCTTGCTGGTTAATGTTCAGGCGTTAGGCTTGGTTGGAAGATTCTCTGTTTCATGGAGATGTATACTTTTGGCTTTTTTCCCCCTTTTATTTTATGTGGTCAGCATAATATCAATATGAGGACATTTTTAGACGTGTTGTTTTCCTTTTTTTTTTTTTTGGTTTCTTGCTTCAAGGATTTTAATGAGACAATTTTTGTAATAAATAACTCCTGAATGCTAAACCATACATACATACATGCATAAAGTTGCATTGACATATTTTTTTAACAAGAAATCTTCATTTCATTGATAGAGTATCTAGTCCCAAATAGGTTGAGACCAAGAGATGAACTTCTACTCCTAGCGCGTGGATTTGGGTATCTAGTTATATAGAGGATGCTTGATTTGATCAATCTTCAATAGCTGCTAAAATTTTAAGATGAAGTCGAACATAAGTAAAAACAACTGAAGCATTTGCAGTTACCAATACCATGTCTGCATCTTTTTATTATTGATTATGGTTTTTAGAAAAACTTCTTTCTGTATGACGCTTGGTACCCATGGGTGATACCATGTTGACAGAAGCTAACCTATAAAACTCACTTGAGGCGCACCCTTGAACCCAGCCATTGCTGTGTGCGTCATTTTAAGATGCCGAGTATGATTTTAAAAAATTTAGATGTAAGCAAAGCTACTATCTTGTTGTTTTTAAGCATACTGTTTGCTCATGGATGCATGATGCTGAATATTATTTGTCTGGTATTTTTTATTTAACCACGTTACAAATTGATCTGATAGAGTTTGATACCTACTGAATTCTTACTACCAGGAGCAGATATAGCATCTGGACCTGTGTGGATGGAGTATATTGCTTTCTTGAAGTCATTGCCGGTTTGTTCTTCTTTCTCTGTGCTTTCTGATTTTCATAATATATTCTCAAGGCTGACTAGTATAAACCAATTGCTTCTGTTAGCCAATTCTATGTTATTCATGTTGAGATTGTTGCAGGCATCAAATGCACAGGAAGAGTCATTAAGGATGACTGCTGTACGAAAAGCATATCAAAAAGCTATTGTTACTCCTACTCATCACATTGAACAACTTTGGAAGGATTATGAAAATTTTGAAAATTCAGTCAGCCGTCAACTGGTAACTCTTTGATTTCTATTGCATGTATGATTTGATCTAATTGTAGTATTGGTTGAATGTGTTTACTCCTATCTTTACCTGTTTTCATCCATTTTAATTTTTTGATAGAGATCTGATTAGTCGTATAATGCAGGCAAAAGGGCTAATATCAGAATATCAACCCAAATTTAACAGTGCCAGGGCGGTCTACCGGGAACGCAAGAAATATGTAGATGAAATTGACTGGAATATGCTTGCTGTACCACCAACTGGCTCTTACAAGGCAATTATCTGCTTTTATGTTGTACCGTGACTGTCTTATTGGTTATTAATAGTTAATAGTAATTTATTGTTCGTCTACATTTCTACTATCCAAACATGCTACGTGCACCAAGATTGATAAGTAATGGCAGATGTAGTCTAGCTAATTAGCAAATAAATTGCAAGCATAGATTTTATGTTCTTTCCATGCTATTGATTCTATCCACTAGGAAGAAGTTCTAGTCCTATGGGATAAAATTAAGTATTGGGTTCGTTGTGGGTTTACAGTGATAAAGAATTTGGCAAGCCAGTTTTCTCGGATTTTGTTTGGAGTTCGGCCCCTTTTTCATAGCCTTTCTCCTTTTTGTTTTTTGGTTCAGCTTTGGGTTTTTTCAATGTTTGATTTTCCTTTGTAATCTTGGAACTGGGTTGCTTGAGGAAAACTCTTCCTCTTTTCTCCCTGTTTTTTATTTTTATGATCAATAAAGATCGCTGTTTTTTTTTTTTTTTTAAAAGAAAAAAATTTATCCACTTGGTTAAAGAGATATGCTCTAACATTTAGCAATGACATTTCTGAATATCCACCTATCGCTTTTTTTTTTTTTTTTTTTCCCCCCAAAACACGATATAAAAATCTGATTGTTTTTTATGCACATATATATGTTTCTCTGTATGTGTATTACTTATTATCTGATTGATTGGGCTCTTGCAGGAAGAAATGCAATGGATTGCATGGAAAAAGTTGTTAGCTTTTGAGAAGTAAGTTCTACTATGTGTTCGATTCATTCTTGTGCTTTAGACTCAATTAATTGTAAATATCTTGGATGGAGAAGCATATATTACGAACTTTCACAGACACCAAAAAAAAAAAAAAAAAAAAGGCCCAGATTTATGCCTACTTATATAAAGACGCATTATGTTACTTTGTTGGCAACCGTAACTAAACACTCATTGACCTATGAAACATGTCTGATTTCTATTCCTAACTCTTAAAATGTGGCGTTCAACTTTATGAATTTATCATTCTTTTGGGAGAAAAGAAAAACTTTTGATGAGCGATGAAAATAAAGTTCTGCTAATTTGTGTTTAGCTATTTGTTGGGCTATGTGGTTGGATACTTATTTGCAGATTTTTGAAGAAAAAGCATTAATGAGAATAATTATATATGCTTTTAAGCTCATTTGCTATGGTTTTGGGGGGCCACAAAGGGAGAGAGCAGTTATATGTTCATGAAGAAGGTCTTTAAAAAAAAAAGAAACCTTGGGGTCGGGGGATTCATACTCTACACCTTGTGGTCGAGTCAGGTTTGGAATTACCTAGCCTGCAACCACTGTTAATGAAGGAGTTGAATCATGTGGAAAATGAAGGTAATAAATGGACTATAGAAGATTCTATCAATTTAAGGTTCGAAAAGATGGTAGAAACAAAAAGAGTTGAAGAGTCGGGAAGAATTGGGGAATGAAACTCTTATCTCAAAAATGAGGGTTACGAGCGTGATAGAAAGTATCCAGAGTTATTTGAGTAGAAAATCTCATGTAGGCAAAAATCTAAGATTAGATGGTTTAAAGAAGAGGAAGTCAAGTCCAAACTTTCCATGTAATGGTAAGTGGAAGGAAAGCTAAAATTCAAATTTCAAACCAACAAGCTGGAATTGGATGATGGAAAGGCAATTGGGGAGGAGGAACAGATTGTACAGGTGAATGGTGGAAATTTTTTTTATAAGCTTTAGGTTTGGTTTGGTGTCTACTGGATCAACGATTTAAGAAGATAAGTTGAGGAAAGGAAACTTTATTATTGCGGAGAACGGGATCAATGACCAGGTTCGGATTGATCTTTGATAGCCTATTGGGTTGATACATCGAGTTAATTTTTGTCCCTTACACTGTAGGGGGAGGGCTTCACGTCCTCATCATTTACTCTTTTCCTTTTGATTATACTTTCTATTTCACCTCACAAAAAAAATAATAATAATAATAATAATAATATTTTGGTATCAGGTACTCTCTTAAAAGACTAGAAGACTATTCTTTGCTGTTATTTTGTTAGTTTGGAGGAACCAATTTGTAGTTATTATTTACTCTGCAATTAAATTTTCTATTTAATAAGATTCCGTTTATTATCTTTTTTATTTTTCCTTTTCCAAATGGGGTATGTGCATAAATGAACCCATACTTGCGATCTCTTTTCAAGAAAATGCCATAACAATTTCTTTTATTATGATTTATGTATGTTTTTTAATAAATTATCGATTTACTAAAGCTCTATCATCAATTTACTCTTTATAAAACTGGTAAATCATCAATTTGCCCAAGTAAATCCTTAATTTGCAGAGAAAAAACTGGTGAAGAAACTTGCTGGACATTTTTAAAGAGAAGTCTCTAAAATGAACATTAAACACAATTTTTGATTAAAAAAAGCATGTGCTAGTACGTGACAAACTATGTTAGTGAAGGCTTAGAACAAGATAGTTTAAGGACTAATGGGTATGTTAATATTAGTTGAGGTGCTAAATAACATTTTTAAAAGGAAAAATAAAACTCCAGTTCCTGTTTGGGCCATCATATGAAGCTTACCCTCAGTTGCTCAACAGAAGTTTTATACACTCGAAAAGGGGAGGCTTTATTTTAGGGATCACTTATAAGTTATATCAAACTAACTACCTCACTTCCCATTTTTCTGCTTAAGAACTCTAAAAATAATTTATCTGAAAAATGGTATTGCGAAAATGTGGAGTCTGGAAGTAATGTGATCGTATAATCAATCATATCACTTCATGATCTATCTGTTAAGAAAGTAGGATGGCCTAGTGCTAATTTTTGCAAGGAAGTTGAATGTAACAATCCTTTGGATGCCACATTGCAGTTTTCAAGTTTCAGAATATATAAATGAAGTGTCTGAAGTGGCATCTTTCCTTTTGAGAGGCATTGACTGTTGCACATAGTTAGATTTGAATAATGTTATTGGGTATGAATCATTCATTATCATTGTTTTTTTATTCTTCTTCGGGTTTATTATTTTCTTTCTTTTTCGTTTATTTAGGTGGGCTTCCTGTCCTCCGTGCCTACATGATTCTTTGTGATTAAGGAAGTTGTGTTTCATTTCAAGTTAAAAACAATATTTTGTAGTTTAATGTTAATGCTATTGTCATCATTTCATTCAGAGGAAACCCACAAAGGATAGACAATGTATCATCCAACAAGAGAATTACATTCACATATGAACAGGTAGAAGAAGATGTCTTTTTAACCACTTTTCAAAATAAATAATAAAAAATAAATAATTAAATAGTTAAATCCTCTTAAATGATTATTGTGCTCTACTTTTTTTCCCATTTAATTTACTTTTTTATATCTTATGGACTTCAAAGGGTTTTCTATGGCGTGTCAAAAGTAGCTCATATTTCTTAAGACATATTGGTTAATGCCTGCGTATTCTTATATCCTAATTTGCATAATCCTCTGGTAGTTGTTTTCATTACAACTTCTAAGTCAGTCTCGACATTACTATAAAAATGTAAGATGATTGTTATGATTCGGATACATGATTGGAAGAAAAGCACAGATCAAGTTTCATTTTTCGCCTTTTCTAGTCTTCTTTTTTCTATCCACATGGACACTATGGGTGCATTCTTTCTCACTGACTGTGTACCTTAAACCATTATTTATTACTAAATTACCCTGAGAGTTGGATTTGTGAAGAAACACTCAGATTGCCTTTCCACCTTCCAGTTATATTATTACGTTTTTCTTTGATACACAGTGAGACTATTATATTATAACATCATTGTTATGTAATGTTTATTTATTTATCTTTATTTTTTTGATAAGAAACAAAGAAACTTCATTGGATCAACAGAAAATTACAAAAAGTATTTTATTTATCATTATTATGTAATGTTTTGTGCTTAATCTTTAATATGTTCATGAATTTCTCATTCCCTACCGTTTCTATCCAGTGTCTGATGTATCTGTACCATTATTCTGACATATGGTATGAGTATGCTACTTGGCATGCAAAAGGTGGTTCCATAGATTCTGCAATTAAAGTGTTTCAGAGAGCTTTGAAGGCTCTTCCTGGTAAGTTATTTTTATTTCTCTTTTGCTTAATAGGATTTCTCAATCAACAATTTAGTAACCCCCACTCATCTTTTCACTTCTACTTTTCTTGATTATTTTTGGTAAGTGTATCCGTGGTAGTTTTTTGGGTTTGATAAGAATCTTCACCATTCGTCTTGAAGTAGATTCATGGCTTACCTTGTTTATATTTTTCAATAACATTCAGATTCAGCAATGCTAGGTTATGCCTATGCAGAGCTAGAGGAATCTCGTGGAGCAATTCAGGTGTCTAATCTTTTAAATTCCTTGTTTTCTGTGTATTCAACTCTTGGCTTTTAAAGGCTTGATTGAGTTGCCCTTCTCTTTTTTTCTGAGGCTCTAACTACGCTTTTTCATTCTTGCAGTCTGCAAAGAAAATATACGAGAGCCTTCTAGGTGATGGTGATAACGCGACAGCTCTTGCACATATACAAGTAATAATTATTGACATAAATAAGTGCCAGTGGACATTTTCTCCTCTGTATGTAGTTGTTGGTCTTGGGAGCTTTAAAAGATCTATTTCTTGTATGTCTAAAGGGGGATTTCTAACTATGCCGCCCATCAGTTTTAGCTCTATATCTGCTCAGCCCTATGGCTGTCACAGCCTACATCATTGTTTTGGGGAAGACACAAGAGGTCAAGAGAGTGAAGTCCTGAAAGTGGGCGCCAAAATTAAAGAAATGACATCTAGTTGATTTTAGGCATTGGAGTAGCTTCTAGTGTTTCTTGTTGCTGTTGTGTTCTTTTCCTTCTGTTTTCCCTGCTATTTCCTTTTCACTTATGAGGACTGCTTGTCCTCTTGTTTTCTTTTGTTTTTTTCCCTTCTTTTCTTTTGTTTTTTTTTTTTTTTCATTTTCTTTTCTTATACAGTGATTAAAAAAAATGAAATGTCATCAAATTTCAACGCAAAAGGTGAAACAAGGGAGGGGAATGTGTGGATAGCTTTTATATAACAAGCTACAGTGTTTAGACGTCTTTGAGAAGGCTAAATTCTCTTCCTCTTTGCGGGCTTCGTCGGATTAAGCTTAAAGTGTTCCTGTTTTCTTTAATGGTTCTAAGCTGGAAGGATGTAATTTGGAAATAGGAGTAGTTTGGGGCAATTCCGTAACAATATGTTTGTTGTAAGGGGCAATTCCGTGGCAAATTTCCTCAATTCTGGGTATAATGGTTGGAGAGAAACTCTCAAACTTGAGGACAAGTTTTGGGATGAAGATTTCTTTTGAGCCAGTGTTTGGTTTTGGTTCTATAATGTATGAATTTATGGAATTTTCTTTCTTTATGATCCTTTTGAATTGAAGAAATTTGTTTGACTTGGTTGTGCTTGTTGTTGTTAGTTAGATGGACCTCTGGTCCTTACTTTCTTTGTCTTGTTATGCTCTTCACTCAAAGTACTCTGTTTCTCATTAGAAAATTGTTACATTGCTTGTGATTAACATTGTCTGTTCTTTTATAATGAATGTCTTATTGGTCTTTTTTGCTGCAGTTTATTCGCTTTCTTAGGAGGACCGAGGGAGTTGAAGCAGCTCGCAAGTACTTTCTAGATGCTCGGAAATTCCCAAACTGTACATACCATGTTTATGTCGCGTATGCAACGATGGCCTTTTGCCTAGACAAGGATCCAAAGGTTTTCTTTTCTTTTTGTATTTGATTTTAGGTTTTTATGGTTCTGATCAGTGCTTAGTGTTGTACTATAGCAGACGTTATTGTTTGTGGGATTGACTTCGAAAAAAAAAGAGGGGGGAAAAGAGGTTTTGTTGATCCTTTTTCAGTTTCTGCAATGTAATTGAAGTGATTTATTGTGGTTGCATAACATTAAATGGATGAGCAGGGACTTCAGAACACAGGAATTTAGTATAACAGATGCCATCAATGGCTATCCATCCCATGAGGATAAGGAGTTCAATAGTTTTTTGTTTTCTGATTTTGTTAGGGATTGGGCTTCTTTTTTGTAATTTCTGCTCTTTTAAAGGAAATCATTTCCTCTTATTTTCTTGTACATAAATATTTTTATCAATAAAGTTATGTTTCTCTTTAAAGAAAAAGGAAAAAATCAATGGCAATCCTCCTCTTTCCTTTTTTTAATGTACAATGTACATGCGCTGATTTGTTGCTAATTCTTAAAAAACGACTAAATTTGACTACTTTTGTAGAATCTGTCAAGTTGTGATTCACTAAGGATAATACCCAAGAGTTCACTCTTATTCTTTTTTTTTTTTTTTTAATCCTTGCAGATGGCACTCAATGTTTTTGAAGCTGGACTGAAACGGTTTATGCATGAGCCACTCTACATTCTTGAGTGAGTTACGAGAAACTAGCAGATTTACAGTGCTTTTATGATGTTCATATAGATTTCCATGGACTTCGACTGTACTATACATCTGAAACCTGCTAATGCTAGGACTCCTTTGTTGAATGTTGAATTGCATATACAAAATAGTCATATATCTTGTAGAAAATGGAGTCTGGAGAGTTTTCCTTCTGACTCAATTACACAGAGAGTGGGTTTACCAATACATACACCTGAGAGTTTATTAGAATCTCCAAGAGTTAGGACACTTATTCCTAGGCTAAAATCTTAATTCAACTACGGATACAAGTGAGGGTACAAATTAGAAAAGAGGACCTACAATAAACTATTTAAACAAGTGGGGAATTTATCTTAGATGTTGGGGACCAATTGGATAAGTGATGTAGCTTTGTCATGCTTAAGCAGAACTTTCGTGTCTAATACTTGAGTCAAATATTACCCATCTACTGAAACCGAATTGCCTTATCTTCAAATTTTGCATGAGCCTCACCAATGCGGCTCTCATTCTTGTATATGTTTGCGGGACAAGGTCAAGCTCATTGTGATGTTAGGCTTATGGGAAGCAAATAAAGCAGCCTTGTGCTAATTGTTATTAACAGTTACAGAAACACAGGCAGTAGTGTGTGCGTGTGTGTTTTACTGGAAATAGACATCACTGAGCTTTAGTTATCACCTGACTGATAGTCAGTGTGTAAAAGCCTTATATTCTGATCAATACATATCACCAAATTAAAATTAAATGTTTTCTGGATTGGGGATTGCCATTATTTGCTGAACAGGTGCTTAAAACATCTATGACTTATATGTTCTTGACATGGCAGGTATGCCGACTTCTTAACTCGTTTGAATGACGACAGAAATATCCGAGCTTTATTTGAGCGGGCATTAAGCTCACTCCCACCAGAGGAATCTGTTGAGGTAGTCGCTAATCTTTTATATGAACATGTACATGTCTTTGTATTTATGTGTTTATTTCACATTTCTACTTTTCCTTTTTTTTTTTTTTTGCATTTTTCTATGCGAGTTCTTTTTTTTTTTTTTTTTTTTAATTTCTGTTTTTGTTACAGTTGCCTTTTTTTTTTTTTTTCCTTTGTGGTTGACTGGTTGCCCCAGTTAGACATTCTTATTTCCCTCTGGCTTGGGCCTGAGTATTTTGTATGTGGCATTCATCGTCATTAGTTATAAGCTGGCTATAGTAATTATTTTCAAACACTTTGGGAACTACTAGTATTTTTAATTAATAAGGCATCCTTTCTATTTTGTCACAAAGGAATAATAGTTTTCCATTTAAAAGCCATTTCAACAAATAATCAGCAAGAAAATAGAAGCTTTTGATAGAATTTCTTAAATTGTTTTCTGGAAAATAGAAGCTTCTACAAATAACCGTGGGAAGGGTTTAAGGATATGGTCTTTCCCAGGAAGGCTGTTTAAACTTATGAAGTTCCTGTGAAAGCTTTTTTTATTTTTATTTTATTTTATTTTTGGACATGGCATGAGCATCTATTTTAACCTTGTGTTACTTCTGGAGGCGGCGAATTCTTGTATTGGAATTGGATAGGTGCTGCATGTATGAGGGAATATGGAGTTTCTAGCCATCCCCTATTTCATCATTTGTTGGCTACAATTTTATTTGATACTTCTTCTAAGATCCATTGGCTATTGTGGGACTCAAGTACGCTTAGAGCTAAAAGGCCTCAAACATTTTTAGACGGTCTTGGATACTTGTTCTAAGATCCCTCCCTCTATATGATAGGGCTTATGGGGTAAAAAGAAAAAAGAAGAAATTAAAAGGGTGTTTGAGAATCTTGAATAGTCTACACTGGCTTTCTCTTGTATCCGCATTGTTTTATCAAATTTCTCATGTCACTTTTGACGTTTACTACGTAGTTTTAATGTATTTCCATTTACAGGTTTGGAAACGGTTCACCCAATTTGAACAAACTTATGGGGATCTTGCTAGCATGTTGAAGGTAAGAAATATGATTATGTAGGTTTCAAAATTGAAATTAGAAAAAGCATATTCAACTGCTGATGTAGGTACATGGTATTTTATATAAAGAATAGTTGACTTTATAACCAAGCAAGGAATCTAGTTATCACATTTCTACAATTAAATCAGAATGTTAAAAATCTATTACATTGTATCTTTGCAATTGTATTTTTTTCTCCATTTCTACAATTAATATGATAGCCTTTCATTTTTACAATTGTATTTTTTCATTCATGTGACTTTTTCCTTTTTGTTCTGTTTCTTTCTTCTGTACGTTGTCCTTTATTTAGGACTTGTCCTCTCTGCCCTGTAATTGATTTTATCATCAATTAAAGGCCACATATATAGTCTAAAGCCGCATCATATTGTTCCTTAAACATTGTGGTTTTTATCTCAGTTTTTCTAATGATATAGGTTGAACAAAGAAGGAAAGAAGCACTTTCTGGAGCAGGTGAAGAGGGTTCTTCGGCACTAGAGAGTTCATTGCACGATGTTGTATCGAGATACAGCTTTATGGATCTCTGGCCTTGCTCCTCAAATGACTTGGATCATTTGGCCCGACAGCAGGTATTTCACATCTTAGAAGGAATACTTCCTTGCCTACTCTAGCATATCACCTAGTAAAGATAAGATTGTGGATGAGAGACTAAACATCTACAAGCCAAAACTTCAAAGTTTATAACATACTCAACTGTGAATAATGGCCCTCTTCATCCTCTAATCATTTGCGTAAAATCATGTATTCTTCAAGTACATCTTTTTCTTCCAAATTTTGTGCACGATAATTGAGATATAAAAACACCTTTGACAAGATCAAAGTTCAACAAAAGAACTTGACAAAATGTTTTCTGAAAAAAAGGTAAAAACCTTTGCTCCCAACTACTTAAAAAAAAAAAAAAAATAGAACTCATTGCATTCTTATTAGAAATTAGTGAAACAAAAAACTAGAGAAGTTTTAAAGGAGCTACTGCACCATAAGTTGTAATGAAAGATATTTCCATTCCATTTAAGCTACTGTACTTAGGAAATACTGAGAATTCTTTCTAGATGATTTGTTGGTGGAGTTCCTTTGACCGGATATTTTTGCTAAGTTTCCGGTCAGACGAGATTAGGCCTAACCCATTGGCAAGTTGAATGAACTCCAGTGAACTGGCAAAAACCTGTTTCAGCAAATGTTCCTTTAAGGAAAAGTTTCACTTTCTCCCTTCTGCTTACTTGAACCATACTGCGTAAAAGAGACATGTAAAATGTCCCACAACTATTTTGATGTTACTGTGGAAATGTACAGCTAATAAGATTGCCTGAGTAGGAGACAGGAGTAAATCAGTACGTTTAGTGCTATAGGATGTGTTACATATGTACGTGTATTTGTACCATTGTTTAATAATGAGAATTAGAGATTATTCCAAAATCTGCCACAGTTACTATTATTTGCAAATGATAATTGGGACCTTTTGTCTAGACTCGGATCTTCATAACTCAGAACCCACCTTGAATGGGATGTAGTAAAAGGCATGCCATTCTAATTTTATAGCTTGAGTAGCTGAGAAGGCTGCTTGTTCAGGACCTATAGTAGTACCAACTACCAAGGCAAGGATTCCTGTATCTGACTATTATTGGGGCGATTTTTTTCCCACTAACAGACTAAGTTCACAGACCATTGTTTACTTGCATTATTCTCACATATTCATATTGGGGGCTATAATTTTGAGTTAAAGAAAAAGGTAGGTAGAGGAAATATTGGCAGTGTATAAAATAGGGCAGATATCACATAATTTATACATATCAGATTCCATTATTATACTACTCAGCTATCTTTGCACTCTTTCAGTGGCTTGCTAAAAATATGAAGAAGAATATGGAGAATTTTACCAATCCTAGCGGCCTTGGGTTCATAGGTACTGTATAACATTATTATTATCTCTGAGTTCTCTAAGGTTTGGTGATTACTTGCTCAAGTTTTCCTTTTATTTTCTAGATAAGGGTACTACAGGCCTGATAAGCAATGCAACTGTGTCTTCGAAGGTTGTTTATCCAGATATTACTCAAATGGCGGTCTATGATCCACGACAAAAGCCCGGTGTGTAATTGTTTTCTTGTTATTATGCTCTAAGAAACTGCCTCAGTGGCCATGCATCTGTATTATGTTCTTGGGTTAAAATCGTTTTGGTATCCTATGTTATAGTAAAACCTGCTTTTGGTACCCTGTATTTTTGGTAATATGAAATTGGTACCTTAACATTTTAGAAAACCATTTTTTGGTACTTTGATGACATAAAATGACAAATTTGCCCTTATTCATATTTTCTTTTTAGATTGATTCAATATATATATATATATATATATTTGGAAAAAAGAATTATTGATTTTGACTATGTTTGATAAATACATTGTACCTAAATTGCTAAAAGGTCGAGCATTTGATTGCAGGGACGGGAATTCTTCCAAATACGGCAGTACCTGGAATTCCTGCTGCTTCTAGGACCTTGTCAAATCCTGTTGTTACAATATTGAGTGGTCAAGCAACAAATGCATTTGATGACGTATTGCAAGCAACTCCTCCAACCTTGCTAGCCTTTTTAACAAACTTGCCTGCTGTTGAGGGTAATTTTAATTTCTTACTCCAGTTAAATTTAATGTAAGTTTTATTTTAGTTTTTATGCTTTCTAATTACTTATTTTCTATTGGCACACGCTATTGGCATAAATAAAAACGTGATTTTAAAACCTTACATTGTTGCCACTTATGCATTGCGGGGTTCACACCTTTATAAACATGTTAGACATCGTTCAAAGAATCAAAATTTGACTTAAAAATACAGACGAAATGGTTCGGTTTCAGCCGTTGCCAGTCATGTCTCATCTTTGGGAATATACCCTTGTAAATATAACATTGAAAGAGTTATTTGTCTTATAAATAATAATATATTTGAAACCTGTACCCATGTGTGAGAATATTGTACTGTGGGGCACTTTTCCCATCAGAGATACTAAGATGATAGGAAAGTACCAATCCAGAAACTTATAGGATTGATTCTGGAAAGAGTCAGAAATAATTTAGATAATTTTCCTGAGTCTTCAAACTGTCTCAGAGGATTATCTTTGCAACATTTATACTTTTATTAAGTTGCAGAATATATTCCTAAATTTGAGTTATATGCAACAGTAAAAAACAGTGCTATCCTTATTTGCTCTATCTTCTAATGTTAGTTATCTTTGATCCAATAATTCTAAATATGCATTATATGACTCGATAGAAGTCGCATCATGAGTCCTTTATTATCTTATCAATTTCCCTGCAGCTGGATACATATTACGTTTTTAAATTTTGGTTGATTCGAGGAAATAGCTTTTTTTTTCTTTTTTCTTTTCTTGCATTGTGCCTGTATGTGAATTTAAAAAGATGGCCGTATGTTTTGGGATGAAAACTAATGGCCGTTTTTGGAAAAATCGTAATTAGCTACTAAAGTTTACTAGTAAATCTCATATTTACCAAGTCAGTCCTTTCATTTATCAAAACAAAGAGAAAAATGGGTCACTTATTACAATTTCTCTCAAAATTTTCAGGTCCAACTCCAAATGTGGATGTTGTATTATCCATTTGTTTGCAGAGTGACCTACCAGCAGCACCAGCTGGCAACGTAAAGTCGGGTACAGCCACAATGCAATTGCGGTCTGGTGCCGCTCCTACTACAAGTGACCTCTCTGGTTCAACCAAGCCCCATCCCGTTCCAAGTGCTTCTTCTTTCAAGCCAAATAGGGGCAAGAGGAAAGACGTAGACAGTATGTGTTTTCTTCCTTCATAATCATTCCTATTATTAACCTTTCCAAACATCTCTTTGGAGGTCTAACTATGATGCAAGATCAAAATTAGAAGAATGCCATCCATCATTTTTGAAACTATTTCTTGAAGCTTTTCAAAAATTACGATGCAAGTGAAAATTAGTTCGCTTTACGATGCCTGTGCGGCAGCTCTTGCATCGAAGTTGTCGTGCGTGCTACTTAGTATCTCTCCATTTGCAATTATTCTGTCATATAGGTAGGATTGAGAACATAATCGAATCGAGGAGGATTTGATAGGTTGCTTGAGATCGATAATGTGTGTTAGCTTCTTTTTTTTTTTCTTTTTTTTTTTACTTTGTATTTTTCTTGAATCTTTATGGGAGAGATAAATGTTAGCGTCACTCTCTTTGTCAGTCTCTGTCATTTTTTGCATTTATTGTTTGACACGTGGACTTCACTATCTCATTTTTTGTGTAAATAATAATATATCATTTATAGGGCAAGATGATTATGATGATGACACCAGAACTGTCCAGAGCCAGCCACTACCAAGAGATGCTTTCAGAATAAGACAGTTCCAGAAGGCGCGACGTACGGCTTCACAAACAGGTTCTGCATCATATGGAAGTGCTCTTTCTGGAGATTTATCTGGCAACACTAGCTGATTTACTTACAGCTTTTTTATCTTCCTCTTCATTCCCTAGTATACTTTTCCTTTTTTCTTTTTTCTTTTCTTTTTTTCCCCCAGTGTTTTTTTTTTTTTTTTTTTTTTTTTCCCCTTTTTTTTTTTTGTTTTTTTTTTTTTTTTTTTTTTTTTTCCCCCCGTGTTTTTTTTTTTTTTTTTTTTTTTTTAACCCTCTTTTCTTTTGGCTGTTTTTTTTCCCCCCTTTTCAGTGAAGTATTTCCTTCGGAACCTTATTTGTATTTATAGCAATATGATGTGCTCTCAAAAGCAATTATTTAGAGCATGAAAATGGTCTTCATATTTGATGCGCTTACTATACTTTGCCAGAGTATATGAAAATTGGACAAATAAATTTTTTTTTCTTTTCGTTTTTTGGTTTTCTAACAAAGCCAGTCTTCAAAGAACTAGTATATGTAATCAGATACAAACACATGTTAAGAACTTAGTGCCTTGCAATGCCTAAATTACAATTTAACTTTATCTTCCTTTAAGAATAATGAGGATATAATTATTAAAAAATAATGCAGATTAAATAACTTACACTGTATGTGTATGTATTTGAACTGCGTATGAAGAAATTAATTTAGTTTAAATGCATAATCCTAAAAATAGAATGATGTGTTTTATTTTTTATTTTGTAAAATAGCATAAGGGGAATGGATTTTTTTTTTTCCCCCCCAGAAAACAGCACAAGGGGATTCTTTTATAAAAAAATTATGCAGGATTTCATCCCAAATACGGTTAGTATATAACAAAAGTTTTTCACAAAACTTTTGAGCAATACTTTATAGATATTAATCTAACGAAAAATAAATAATCATTCTATTTTATTGCCTAAATGAAGTGATTAGGGTGATAACTTCAATCTTCAAGAATCTGAACGCTTCTTTGATTCCTTGAATCTTTCTCGCCTACTCTCTGGTGCTAGAAGAACAACGTGTGCGCGTGCTACGACTTCCGGGTTTTTTTTCACTATCTCATATTTGATTCCCACTATAATCTCAACACATGAGAAGAGCGGGACTAAGGCAAGAACTTTTCTTCACTCTTTAAAAAATAAAATAAAATAAAATAAAATTCAGCCACTATAGATTAGTTCTGTGATAGTTTTCTCATGCCATATATTTATAGAGAAAAGACCCAGTTTATAACTCAACATCGTGGTTTGAAATCGGTACACTTAGAAGTGAAAGTTGAGGTTGCCCGGCCTGACTCCGCTGAATGAAAATTTTGAACCGGGCCGGCCCTAAAAGGAGGAGGGTCAACCCGGCCCGGCTCTAAAGCTTGTCAAACCTAGGCTGGGTCGGGCCGAATCAAAATTTATAAGGTATTTTTAAGAAAGCAATTAAACAAAGGGAGAAAGATAGAAATATGTCAAGACTTGAGATGAATTAAAATTAATAGCCCAATCGTTTACATAAGTTAATAAATAGGCCAAATTACTATTTTCATCCATAACTTGTCTGGTTATGAACCATAACTTGATAAGTTATTGTCTATAATTGTCCATAACTTGTCTGACTATGAACCATAACTTGACAAGTTTGTCCATAACTTATTTGGTTATGAACTATAACTTAACAAATTATGATCTATTAATTTCTATAACTAAAAATTGGCCTATATACTTTCATAAACTTTTCATATTGGCCTATTTTCTACTATTTTCCTTAAACAAATGTGTTCCGGCCAAGCTTAAATAAGGTTTCGGACTTGTAACCTAGGCGCAACTTAGCCCGAGAGTTAGTGTCGAGCTTCAGGCGGGCCGTTTACTTACAGCTCTAGCTCTAGATGCACTTCATAAAATGGGATTAGTGTTTGGTGCTGATGTAGCAATGTGTCCACGATTCTCCCAGTAAGTACTTGTAATCATATCGTGGGTGATTTTTAGGTCCATGGAATTCCTGGCATAGCCGCCCCTGCAAATTGGATCAAATAGACAGTCGAGTCTTGGAAAAGGTTTTGTACCACCATGATTGAATGAATCTAAGTTTGCAACCGAAACTCTTAGGGTTGTTAGGTACATGTATTCAAAACGCAAACTACGATTTTACTACAATATTTTTCTTTTTATAAAGAATTGAAATAAAAAAATTCTTGTCAATAGTTCTCTCACAAAAAATTTGAATCAAAACCCAAATCATCATTCAAATTCACTTCCCAAACCACCTTATGAGTCGTTCTACCCATTAACTTGGATTCTGATGGGTTGTGAGCTTCTTGAACTGGGTTGATAGATGCTGATCGAGCCTCTATTATTTGAGGGATCGACTATATCACAAACAACGATTTCAACTTAAATGGCCCCTATAGACTCAACTTTTGTACATCTGGACATTCCAAATCCAACCTTAACAATTTGTTTCCCAAATCTCATATGTTTCCTTTTTCAATTTCAAATTCAAATAGCCATTTAGAAAATTAAAATTTCCAGCTTTATCGACTCATCCATTTGACCCTAATGTTGAGTGGCAATCATCAAGGTTTTCATTTTTAGGGAGAATGAGTAAAATAGCATAATTAAGTCAGTGATTAGTAAATTATAACATAATTTTTTAAAATAGGTAATAAATAACATAATTTAATAGGTTACGTTTCCAACACCATTAAAAAACTAAAAATACCTCTAATTCTTTCTCCTTCTCACATGTAGTTAAATCCACAATGGTCGGCACCAGCATCAGAGTCTGGTGATTGGCACCGGTGACCGATGGACGATAAATAACATTAATGTAAATTTTCACAAGTGCACAAATCACTCAAGTAATATATTAGAGAGTAAAGTATCGTTCCTTCAGAAACTAGTTTAACCATTACTCAAGATTATAATTATAATTTTATTTAGACAATATCAATAAAGATGGAATATTTGAAATTAAATAAAAATAATAAAAACTCAAGAAATTATGCAAGTTATAAATTATGAGAAAATCAATGACAAGAGACCACTAGAGTACACAAGTTTCACCAAGACAATTTCTATTTGATTCTAGTAATTTGTTAATATCACCTAAAACTCATGTGCAAAACGAGAAATCCTAATTTTGTTTAGTATTTCTTCTTGGGATTTTATTGAACATATTCTTAAAATATAGACCGCTATCGCTCGATGTGAATTCTAACATCCTAAAAATTCATTGTGCTCCGATTCTCTAATTTGTTCACGAAAATTGTATTACTATCACTTGATGTCTAGGTGTTACACGTACCTTAAGGTTTCTTTCACTAGAAGCAATTCATAAATATTTCCTTCTGGGGTTTTAGTGTAGGTCTTCTCAAACAATTCAAATATTAATTAGATATTCAAACAACATTAATCACTAAAAAGATACAACAATCATAAACAAAAGACTCAGTGAATTACTTCATTGTGAAAAAAAAAAAAAAAAACTAGATTCAAATATTCATCTTCTTGGCTACACTTGTAGTCTTAGCATAATGAATTAGTGCATAATTGAAATATTAAACATCATAATAATAATAATGATATTGAACATCAATTTGCAAACTAACATAAAGAGGGGGGGAAGAAAAAAGAAAGCCTAAGAATCTTGAACAAGACGATCGTTTTCCAATTCTCTATCTATCTCCGTTCCAAAAGTAATCAAACGGCTCTCCAAAAGTTCCCAAAGACGCCTCCTAATTCACCTTTCATATTGCTCTCCCACGTACTTGGAAACTTGGGCAAAAGGTGCAATTTTCGGGATATTTCCGTAATACTACATTTTCCGTCAGCATCGCGGCTCAAATTTCTAACAACTTAACATTACTAACTAAAATTACTTGAAAACGTGAAAGAAATTGCTTACCAAACCTAAAAATTAACACGAAAATAAAACTCTTAACATACTCCAAAATTAACGTAACTAACTAAAAAATGTCAAGAAATAAAATAAAACGAGACTTAGACAATTTCAATGAAAAACACATGATAAACTAATTCTAGTTCTAATTGAGAGTTATCACGCCTCCAAACATACTATTTTGCTAGTCCCGAACAAAGCATATCAAACAAGAGATTCAGCAAACGAATTTGGCGTTTCCGCATATTACCTCATGAGAGGTCATTTGGCGAATCCCATAAGTTTGCTTTTCATCCCCTCTCTACTAATGTCGACTTAACTTCGTCGAGGATCAATAGAACTTTATCAGGCTCGTAACGTTAGGTCAGGGTAGATGTTGGATAAAGGATCTAATCCAGCACATGAGTTCACCCTCTAAGCACTCACATCATTTCAAGATCTTCTCACAACTTTTGCTTTTCTCCATTTTAACATCCCCCACTTTCAACTTCCTGCCCTTGACTTGCCACATATTTGCACCCTTTAAGCACTCGCACTATATTTGATAAGAAATTTATCGCAAAGTATAGTGCATGATAACTTTAACCTAAAAAATAATATTGCATTAGAGCATATTTTTTACACTTAAATGATGAATATTTAATTAGCACACTAATTATAGTATTACAGTTTAGATGCTCTAAGAATAATGCTAAAAACTTGGGCTAAGTCTCATGACTCCCTCCTACAACTAACGATTGACTAAATTAAATATAATGTAAAGAATAAATACATAATAGACGAGATAGTTATGTCTCTGTAAGTGGTTAAACATCAAATTTAGACATCTAATGATGTGGTACAATAGGAATCTAATCTCATTAAGTGCCACACATTTTTTTTTATCAACTACTCAATTTATCACGACCATTAAAAAAATATTATTATGTTAAATAACACATATCAATAAATAAATATTAAAGTAACTATTAAAATCATACTCATGCATATTTTATTTAAATAAAATATAGAACTGTAGCATAATACCGCATAAGCCGCTAGTAATGGTCCAAGGAAAGAAAAATTATAAAACTAAAAAAGTCGAAAAAGGAAGAAGAAAACTCCACAATTTATATGGCAAGGAAGACCTTTTATCAAATGGGTGTTCTATCCCATCAAAGTTAGACACCCAATGATGTTCTACATACATAACCCCTATAGTCAAAAAGAATGAAGAAAATTCTACTCCGTAGATGGCAAGGAAGACCTTTTTC